AAAATGAAAATATTTGCACTCTTGAATAAGAGTGGCATATTTTCTCTTTTGGAGTGAGATTCATGTACACTGTAAAGAAAAGAAATCTTACTTGTTTTTTGGAGTGAATCTCACTCCAAAGGTATGAAATCTCATTCCAAAAAAAGAGTGAAAATCTACCACTCCTATTCAAGAGTTTCATTCTTTTTCAATAGTGGCAGTATTTTAATTCTTTTGAAGTAAAATTTAAAGAGAAATTCAGAGAATATTCATATCTTTACGTTAATTTAAGGTGAATGTCTTAAAATCTCAAAATGGTTATCATCCGGAATCGCTCATTCTTTCGCAACTTCGTAACTAGTTCAGGCACCGAGATCCTCGATCACGCGAGAGAACTTAATCGATCCACTCTATCAAAGGTGGCGGTCGGTTGCAGCCGATAACGGGAAAAGCAAATCGTATCGCCTCTCACTCTCCAGCGCCCAATGGAGAAGGGGCGGAAGTTCGTCCCACAGTGATGCTGTATGCGTTCATACATACGTTCGCGTGTATGCAAGTGGTTGGCAAAGGATCGATGGAAAGGTAGTAGGGAGGGGGGTATTTGCAACACATGGCGGAAAAATCTGGCATTCCAGTGCGGCTGCTCGCGAAACGCAGGCAGTGATCCATGCACAAAACGATGACGTACGAGCTATAAGCTTAAGCTTCTCTCACACTGTCAACTCTATTTCCCTCTTTTCTTTCCATGATTTCATAGACGGTATGCTTTGTAGGCGTGACGTCATAAGCAACAATTTAACGATAATAATATATGAATCTTTAGACTTTGCTATAGATTGCTATTATGAATAGATTTCTTTAAATTAATAAATAATTAAATTAATAAAAAAATAATGAATACTTTTTAATTATTAGAATAAGTTAATAGAATTCTCTATTAGATTTAATTATATTTTTTAATCCTACCGGTCTCAAATTTACTATATGATTATATTGTTTAAATGTAATTAAAATACTAAAAAATAAAAAAATAAAATATTTTCACAGAAAAAAGATCTTACATTAACAGAAGTCAACAAATACCAAAGAAAAAAAATTTTTAAATAAAATATTAATAACATGATAAATTACAGGTTGAGTTATATAAATCAGCAGAATTAATAGATATAATTTGTTTAATATATCTAGATCCTTTAAACTTACATTAAAAAAAACGATTTTACTGAAGTATCTAAAATTCAGTTAGATACAAATTTGAAAATAATTTGAAACATAAAATAAAAATAATTGTTGAATCATCATTACATAGGAAACTTAAACAATTGATGAGCAATGCCGCAAGAAATTTTGACATTCTAACAATCAGCTTGAACGTCTTACATAATTATTTTGATAATAAAATTATTTTCAGATCTATAATTTAAACAAATTGTTTACTTCAATAAAATGTCCATTTATTCTAAATTAAACTTAATTAAATTTAATAATAAATTTAATTAAATAAACAACTTGTGCCAATTATGGACAAAAATATTTAATATTAGATGTTCTTTAAGAAAACTTCAAATTCATCAAAAATTAAATTAATCAAAGCCGAAGACGATAATAAGAAAATTATAAAAACCGATTTTAAATTATATCATTAAGTGGATTTGAGTGATCAGAGTATACTGCGAAATATAATTTCATTCATTCCCGAATGATCCATCTGATTGAGAAATATAGTGTGAACGGGACCTTATTCGAGAACATGCCGTTACTTAACTCCGTCGCTCTCGGGGAAAGTCTTTAGACCACAAATCTATGGTAAGGCTAAAGAAATTCTCAAACGGCTGTTAGTGTGCAGGCACCGCTACAGACAAGGTTACTGAGGGATCAACTTCCGATTTCGAAATCGCATTCGGTACCGCAATCGTTTCGCGATATCTAGGATATGGTGGTCTCGAGCGCAAATAACGTGGTATTTGTGTCAGACGGCTTCGTGATTTTTGACATCGCGCTGAAACGGCCATGTATTAGTATACACCAGCTTAGCTATGCTTTTACTTTTACGACGGCGAGTCCCGCTCGAATGCTCAGACCAAGGTTAATCGATTTGTGGATGAATTAAGGTCCAAACGCTCGTCGTAAATCTCCGTAAATTCGATAGTTTAACTGCGGAACGATGTCGTATGCATTCGAGAATTTCTCATGCTTTTCAAATTACGTAAAAATAGCTGAATTTGACCGTGCGTGAAAGGATAAATGTGTTAAATGCAGTTACGTCAAAGTATCTTTGTTGCATAAATTAAAGAGAATACTTTTGAGAATATATTTGATTAATTAGAAAAAATGCTAATTGATAAAATTCTCGCTATATGTTGCAATCTTAAATTTATATTATGTTTCTATGGAGAATGATTTTCAAAGTAACCGGCTTGGCAATTGTCGAAATAAGATATCTCGCATAGTTGCAGTCAATTCTGAGGCTGGTATTTATTATCAGAAAGTGTCTCTTAATTTGTTTTCGTATTTACCAGCGAGTCAGTGTAGCAGAACCAAATTGAATAAATTAATAACATGGAAAGTGCTATTGAAATTATAGTTCTCGTTGGACAATAGTTGTCAATCGACACTTCCGATCTGCCACTTTTAAAGCAATACTTGAGTAAACATTTCCGATGAGGTAATACCGTACTAAAATCGAAGTTTCTATTCGTTTTTATTGTCTCGTGATTAATCTGTATTTTCTCGAAATGTCATTTATTCAGAGCATAATTTAATATCTCGTTTACGAAATACCTTGAGAAAGACTGTAATTCTGAGAGGCAATCAGAACAGATAAGTAGATACGCGGCAAAAAGATGTGTTGCACGAAATTACATTAATAGGAACGTTCGCGTATAATCTAATATCTACTTTCTACATATAATTTTTGTAAGAAAAGAACGATTTTGCTGAAGTATCTAAAAACTAACTATAATTAAAAATCTGAAAATAATTTTGTTGGATTATTAAAATAATTACGTAGAGGAATCTTATGAGCAATGCTGCCAAAATTTTTAACATTCCAGCTTGAGAGTCCTAATTATAACTAACAAAATTATTTTCAACTCTATTTTTAGCTAAAATTTCAGATATTTTAATAAAATCATCCTTTTTAGATGCTTTTTCTATGCTTTTTTAATTACATGAAAAAATCGGTTTTACTGAAGTATCCAAAAATATGGCTACACGAAAAAAATGACTTTGTTAAAATATTTAAAAATTTAGATAAACAGATGAAAATAATTTGTTGGACCATCAAAATAATTATGTAGGAAGTTCAAGCATGATAAAAAATATTGATGCAAAAAGTTTTGACATTCAAGTTGAAAGCTTGAAAATCTTACATGATTTTGGTGGTTTCAACAAAATTACTTTCAGATCTGTATCTAGCTAAATTTTTAAACACTTTAGTTTTTAAAATTTCTTTCCATGTATGGTATAACCATATTGTAAATAATCCTCGTTATCGAAGTTGTAAGTATCCTCGAGATTCTTTTATTTTACTTTTGACTTAACATATCTCTGCTCTCTTAGAGCTTGGATCAGTTTAGCCGAGTGATATTTTCTGTGATCTCATGAGAAGCCTTGAATAGCGATTTCTTTTGAGAGAGTAGGCGGTACGAAGTATCTGCGGTGCTGAAAGCGGCACCATCGATTATCCCGACCTATCGGAGGAGACGATAAACCAGACCGGACCGCATTGGAAGGCGATAAACTTTATCGTTTATCAAAGAAACCGAGCACGCTGCTGAGAGCGTGACAGTTCTTTCTCAGTCAAGATCGAGAGTTGAAAACGAAAGGGCGATACCATGTCAATCCTCGTCCTTAACCCAAAACAGCTTTGCGAGCAAGCTGCAGACGGCGACAAATCAGATAAGAAAGAGCGGCGTCAAATGTAATCTCCGTCAATTAACACGCTGACGCTCCCGCGCATTTCCGCCGTATAAACGGCGATAATTCTTGTCCTTCGGATTTTTCTATCGCGTCCGTAAAATAAACATTTGTCATGACGCCCTGAATATAGGCGCCGTCGACTAGAGTGACGCTTCTGGAACATCGAAAAACGAACCTTGCACAATAAACTTTAACTATACATGTCGCGATAATGTTTTATGATTAACAATGATTAAATGAATGTTCCTTTTTTTTACTTAAAATCAGCAAGCGAGCAGAAGATTATTTATTCGGTTACATAAATTCTTCAGACATTTCACATTTTTAGCGAATGATAAATTCTTTATTGCAAAGATAGAATATTAATTCAAAGACAAAAAAAAAAGACTAAATTCAGAGACAAATAAAAACTTACGTATAGAATAAGATAAATCATTATTCCGAATAAAAATATCTATTTTTATTAGGTTGATAGTTTTATAATAAAAATCAATATTTCTAATAAAAATGTTTTACATAAAAGATCCTCATAAAAAGAATAAGATATTATGTAAGATATACTATTGTAAAAATCACTAAAAGATACTAGTTAAGTTAGAAATAATTACGGCTTTCGAACGATTTTCAATGGGAAAAGGATTCAATGGAAATTTATACAAGAGAAGTTTAGGGAAAAATCTAATATGCATTTCACTTACTTTAACCTTTATTTTATGATCCTATAAATAAAATAGTATCTCAAAGTTTTTTTAGCCATCCTAAATAAAATTATGCACGAAACTCAATACACGCTAATCTCTCTTTTTTTATTTACTAGCTGCTACGACTATTTTATTCAAACGTCCATTATGATATTTACATTCAAAGGGGGAATGAATCGAGAAGCAATAAAATGTACTGACAGAGACAAATTGCGAGAAGTAATGGTCTGAGAAATGCGATGGTAAGCTCAAACAGAGGGCATAGTTCCACCGTTATTTTGGTAATACATCATACGATCTGTCTATGACAGTAGTAGAGTGATATCGATCGTCGACGCGCTTATTATACGTATCGAAGTTTAATCTATCGAAAGAACGTATCATGCATGTCAAGCATACCTTATTGCAGCGTAGCCATAACATAATAATATTCGGATATTTAAGAGGTCCCCCTAATCCACAACCACCAGCGATACGCTGGGCTTTCAGCAACTCGGACTGTGTTTTTCCGTGTTGGTAGAAAATCTCCAAAGATCTGCAAAAATTTCAAAAAAAATCTTCACAAATCTATAATTTTTGCGGAATCTTTGATGCATTTTGATTTATCTTTTCCATAATATTAAGAGATATCGTGTAAAAACTCATTAGTTAAATCTGAATCTTTATACAAAAAGAAGAGTTTTGAAGTAAAGTCTAAAAAGTCTAAAAAGTTTAGTCTTCTAGATACAGATCTAAAAATAATTTTATTGGAAACTCAGGCATAATGAGAGCTACAAAAAAACATTTTGACATTTTAATAATTTCCAGTAATTTCTATAGTAACCATCTTGAGCATTCTATAATTCTTTTATTTTATATTATATTTTATATAATTCTTTTATATTAATAATCTAAAATTATTTTCAAATTTGTATCTACATAGTTAAATTTTTAGATACTTCAGCAAAACTATTCTTTCTGTCAATATTCTTATCATTGACTTATATCCCTAACTAAAGACTTATTATTATCGCTATAATAGAGTAATGATATTTATTCTAGTTAACTAATGATAAGTGTTATGTTTAAACAATTTAACTAAAGCAAAAAATCTCTGTTAGATTAAATTAAATTAAAAATATATTCATTAAGACACAAGAATATGATTAAAAAATGGATTATTAACATTATTGGTTTCCATCATTGGCCGGTCGCTTTAAAATGCATTAAAACTAAAAAATAATTAAGAAACTAAGATCCTAAGCGAAAAATTATATCCTGAATTGAAATTATATCCTGACAATCAAATTGTATTTCAAAAATAGATCCATTCAAGTTATCGAATGAAATTAAAAATAAACAATGAGTTTACAAAGGCTCTAAGAATGTAATTTACGACGAGTGACTGCACAAAAACCTTTCGCAATTTGAAGAGAAAGATCATGAGCAAGTTGCCTCCCCTGTGAAAGTGCCGGATTATTAAAAGCTCGTTCGTCAAATGATCGTAATGGCGCTTGATAATTGGCGGGCGTCGTTTCGCGCTCGTTAATTATACGGCGTATTACGCTACAATACTACATGATTCTTATCTCGACTTTAAAATAAAATCCAGTATTAAATTAGCAACAAATACCAGTCTAGTACGTACTAAATAGTTTTCAGGAATCTCGTATCTTGATAAATGCCGAGTACGTGCGACACAAACTAATTATGAGTTCCAATCTTGACTCACGCGTGTGTGATTGTATTTAATGTTGCCATGTCTAAAAGACGATTGTTTGCAATCATAATATTAATTAATTGCGCTGCGCTATTAATTCTTCGCTCAAACTGTACCTAAAGATTCTAAAACAAAGTCTAGTCACGAGCGATTTTGTCAAAATTTCTACGAAACAGAAAGATCTGTTTCTCTACATATAATTATTTCACTTTAGAATTTTAATTAAATTATAGATAGAGAGAAAAAATAAGGTTAACATATACTCGAGAATATATACTTCTATAATATAATTGTATAGAGTTTGCAGGTCCATATAGAGAGTATATAGAATGAAACCGTATAAGTTAAAGTGAAACAATATTGAATTAGAATAAAAATTTGTAGCGCTACAAACTTCAAGCTGTGTAACTTCATTAAGAATAAACAAAATTTAAATTAAAAGTTTTAAAACCTAAAAATCTCTATTTTTGAAAGATTACTATCTTTTTTCTATAAGTTTTTACATATAGAAAACTACGAGCTGGATAAAATGGAAAAGGAGCATTTTAACGTATACTCTATAACTTCGTTAAAAATCACCAAAATTAAAAAAACAGATTTTTAAGATTAAAACTTTATTCCATCGCTGCATCGAGATAATCGCCAAATTGTTTTTAAAAACATGTACACATAATACAAATGAAATAGCGCTATGAACTTTTGTTCAAACCTAATATATGTACAGAAAAATGTGAAAAAAAAAATATATATATATATCTTAGAATTTGGATAAAATCAAACTCTATTACAGGATCTTTAGCTGCATCTATCTGTGGAAAAAGTGAGAAAGACTGAATGGGAATGTGCATGCGACATGACAAATATATGTCGAGTATCGCCGCGTGCGTATAAATATACACGTGACACGAGCCGGCCGATGATGGAAACAAAAGTCTCTATAAGCCTGGCCAAAGCTGTCTCCGAAATTAACGATCATCCCCCGGCTTCCCCGATAGACGACTGAGAGTCGCCTAATTTCGTGACTGGGTCGTCGCCTTCGTCGCCGAGTAAACGGATCTCACGACGACACGCGAGTCCCGGGAGAGAAGTGTAAAAGCTGTAGTTTCAACATGGACGAACTTGTCGACGACGTCTGAACGTCGCTTTCTATTTCCGTGACAGTCGTCAGCGCCTCCTTCTAAGCGAGTCCGAGAGGCGGGACAAAGGGAGGAAAAAAGGATGAAAATTGGACGCATGGCGGTACACATCGTTCTCTTCGGAGGCGCCGTGGATGAGGTAAACGACCGTCTGTGGCAATCGAGCGAAATTTATTGGCCTAGGTTAGGCTATAGGACGAAGACAGTGGCTGATAGAACATCTGTGAGATGTTAAGATTTTTAGATCTTTTTTTATATAATACTTTATCTCGAATTATATTGCGACGTTACATGGAAAGGACGATTTTGCTGAATCATATAAAAACTTATATCATACAGATACAGATCTGAAAATAATTATGTTGGACCATTAAAAATGATGTAAATTTAAAATGAAATCATAAAAAACGAGCAAAAAGATAAAGTTAGCAACAATCAAATTTATTAATCAAATAGTAGTATAATTGTTTTTATCTCCAAACGAGCAATAAATTATATAATTATATTATTTTAATCATGGACACATACTTTTTGTTTTTAGCCTTTTATTAATGTTGACCGCGAAGCCGAACTAATATTAACCATATTAAATTTTTACTTATTATAACATGCTTTTTTTACTTTAGCTTTTTATGTATTTATTTTTTATCGTTCAACTGTATATATTAATTATCAAATTTTAACCGAGCTTGTAATTTTAATTAATTTTTTTTCGTTTAAACAATTTCATTATTAGGATTGAAAACGATTGTAAATTAAATCATATTATACTATTGATGAATCTATCTTCTTATTGTTGTTAACTTTATTATTTTGTTCGCGCGTGTTTATTGTCTTTAATTTCATTAAAGATTAATAAATTTTAACAAATTTTTATCATATATTCTAGTAAACACGGTTTCTCAATTGTGTTTTTTAATTGTGTCTCAGACTTTGTTCGTGTTTTATTTTGTTGTTTCAATAATGTAGAATTCAAGCATGATGATGATGATAATATATTGCAAAAATTTACTGTAATTATTTAAACATTCAACGTAATTCTTTTCAGATTTATATCTAAAATATCTAAATAAATTTTTAAATGTTTCTATTTCTCTCCATGAAAGATAAGGCAATTATAATTGTCAGATAAATGTATTGTATAAATATACAATACATATTCATAGACATTCAATAGATATTCATGATTTTGTGATTAATATCATTATAACATTGTTGAAAGTGATAATATATTTCATAATTATTAGAAAATTATTTAAAACATTGTAAATTTTTTATGTTGGAAAAAATGTTTATATTATATCTTATAGTTTAATCAATTCATGCTCAATCATACCAAATACGATTTTATTTAAAATGTAGACATTGGTCTACATTTCTGTGAAAAGATAATTTAAATTAAATAATTCTTAGTTTAATATTACTTAAATTATTCCCAAGAACAATCGTCGATGATAAAAATTTTTATCAAAAACTTTTAAAAACTACTCTCGTTTCTATACAAACCCCATTTTGTGCAAAATTATATTGAGAATTTTCTACCAGGGAAAATAACTTTTCAATAAACAGTTCTTTAAAGAATATCTATGAAACATACAATATATAAGGAACTTTATATTTATGTAAAGGATAAGTGACAACCTTATAAAAATCTTCTCGCTGCGTGAAGTTTCCTTCACGCAAGACAATTTAAAAGTTTTCCAGCCACTCCATCGCTTCCATCTCACTGTTTGCATACCATACACATACTCGGCATTAGTACGCAGATCTGCTAAGGAATTTCAATGGACGGAGTTGAAGCAAGTTGTTAAGAAGCCATGCGTGAATTGCAGCTGTTTTCGAATCGTGCCTTCCCTCGCAACGTGGTGTGAAAATGCGGAATGAACAGATCGAAGTTATGCAAGTGCAATGTCGCACTTCGTATTACGCATATCTGATAGTCTGATAAGCGAAATCTGATCATCCGCGGGAATCTGCCTCCGTTGAGGAAACTGATCCCCACTGGAGTTGGATTTTTTTTTTTTTTTTTTTTTGGAATGTTCAAAACGCTGATGAAATCAAGAATAATAAACTTCTCATTTGCAAAACAAAAAATAAAGTTATTTGAGAGTTATTTGAGGAAGCGAAGATTATCAAGAAACTCGATAAATACATTTAAAAAACGGTTTTGCTAAAGTATTTAAAAATCTATTTAAATTTAACTTATATAGATCTGAAAATGATTTTGTTAAAGAATTAAAATAATTATATAAAACGCTCAAGTTCATTGTTAAATTTGTAGTATCAAATTTAACAATGAACTTGAGCGTTTGTAACCTAATTTAATCACTGCTCCTAATATTTAATATATCATTATTTTATACTAAAAAATGGTTACATTTAAAACTATAGATTTAACAATGTCGATTATTAGAATGTCAAACTTTTTGCAGTATTGCTCTTTATGCTTGAGCGTTCCATATAATAATTTTAACAAAATTAGTTTAACAAAATTATTTTCAAATCTGTATCTAATTAAATTTTTTAATATTTCAACAAGATCGTTTTTTTCCGTGTTTGACGATGAAAATATCGTTTTCCTAATTAGGAGTTTTAAACGCGAATTGATTCGAAGCTCACTAGCGCGAATCTTAAATGCTTGCTAACGCTATTCTCGGAATTTACATGAGAGCGAGCACGCCGCTCGCAATCGAAGCCCTA